TTTATTTCCTTACTCCTACTCCTTACTCCAGCTTACTCCAGCTTACTCCATGTATTGTAGACCAGCCTTAAAGCCCTTGAGATTAGATTGAAATTTGACCAATCACAGTAAAGTTTACCAATCTCAAGTTCAGTAACTTTTACTCCGTTTGGTCAAATGTCAATCTAATCCCAATCTCAATCCGTAGTCTGATACGGGCTTTAGGAGGATCCTAAAGCCATCTGTTTTATCGACACATTGGAATATAGTTTTTGCGCTTGTAATTCTACTAGCTTTGACGCACAAAATAACGCCAGGATAAGTTGCGGACCGCATAGCAGAACATTTTCATACTTAAAAACACTCGGGTCAGAAGTCTAATGAAAAAGATTATTGGTATTTCGAATTTTCAATTTGCTAATCGCGAGCAATTTGAAGTTGGCTTTGTAAAATTACAAAATTCTTCCACGCGATTACAGTACGCGTAGAAACGAAGCGAGGGGTTTCGCGACCTTATATAAAGAACAATGAGAAACTAAAAGTATCACTTTATAAGTAATTGCGATTAGGTGACAGCTTAGTATGCTGATACTTTTAATTTCTCCGTTTTCTCCGTGAAATCTTTCAATTCAACAATTCTCTCTCGATCCTCCGCGCCATCCGCGACCGAATTGATTTCGAACTTTCCCGCCCGGGCGGGGCCCACGAAGTTGCCCGCGAGTCGAGGCCACGTGGTCTCCCGCGTATAAATACACGGCGACCCTCGGCGACGAAGGGAACGCCTGAAAACGCGAAGAGGAGCATCTCGCGAACCTTTTCCCTTCGCGACGTACCGCCCGGGAACGTTCACGTGACGTTCGCGTGATACCGGAGTGTCGTTTCGAGAACGCGAGTTCCCCCTCTCGGATGGAACGGCCCGAAGTTGGCCGCGCGAACCCCGGGCCAATGGGCGCCGCGCGCTCGGCAGTACAAAACTCCGGCGGTTGCCGCCGCGATTCATTCGCGCCCCCCACCCCACTCCGCCTTCCCCCACCCCCTCCGCGCTTGTTTGTTGACCTTCTCGCCCTGTCTTTCACATGTTAGAGGTCAACTTGCGCCAAGCTCCTCGCCCGCTGTCCGCTCGGTTCGAATGCGAGCGCACGGCGTTCGTACACGGCGCCGATAACCGTTTTGCGCTCCGTCTCGTCGACGTAGGTACGGAATCCCTCGGGGAATCGAAGGGCGGAGGAGCCCGCGAGGACGTTCGGCTGCCGCCACGTGCGTGACGTGTGTATGTGTGCGCGTTGCCGTCGGCGGGGTGTTAACCGACTTTTAATTATGTACAACCGCACGCGACAAGGGAACGTCCTCGACTCGTGTCGGCGGCGTTCGTGTCCGTTTCCCGCATGCCCGTCGTCCTGCATGGAGAATGATTTAGCCAGTGTGTTGCTAGCATTGATGTCGTTGCGTTATTGTTTGTACCTGTTGCGGCTTTATCGTTCACGCATTCGCCACTTCGCGTTTGTAAAGTTAAGGGCAGCAGAATGGCTGTCTTGTATTCTTAAGACGCAAGACAGGGCCCGAGCAGAATGGCTGTCTTGTACTCTTAAGACAGCCTTAAGACAATGTTTTATGTTTTAAATCTTTGCCCTAAAGTAAGGGCCTGAGCAGAATGGCTGTCTTGTACTCTTAAGACAATGTTTTGTGTTTCAAATCTTTGTCTTAAAGTAACGCACAATAACTGCCTTGTGACTTGAGAACACAAGACAGCCTTTTTGCTCGGGCCCTTCCTTTAACCTAATCTACAATGTGCTTTCTGCATCTAGAAACGTTCTATTTTGTATAAATAAATCGAACCGCTTTAAAAAAATGTGTTCGATTATACAGTGTATAATATACGATTTATCAGCTTGCACGAATTTTTGTAAACATATTTATTGACTACAAAATAGAATGCTTCTAGACGCGGTGAGCACATTGTAGATTAGGCTCGAGATTTAAAACATAAAACCCCGACATCTTTTAATAATACAGAAAATTTATTGCAAAAGATATCACCTCAGCCAGGGAAATAGACGCGTAGACAACATCTTTATACTGTTATTGCGACAAATATTATCATGTGCCTCGGTGGTCGAATTGGTGAGACGCCCGCCTAGAGTGTAGGGAGGTCCAGGTCTCAAATCCTGGCTGAGGTAATATTTTTCGCAAGAAATTTTCTGTGTTAAAAACACATCGCGAGTCATGGTCGATCATTTTTAGTCATTTGCTGGCGTCAAATAATCCTTGATGTTGTAAAACATAGTACAAGGCAGCCATAACTGCTCAGGCCCTAACTCTGCGAAGTTAACTGGCACGTTCGACATCTTTATCCGTTATCCCAGTCTTACAAGTTATAATTACTAATCGCCATTCCAGACTCCTTACATAAGTAACTCACATCGCCTTTATTTATGTGTAGAAAAATGCTTGGTACGTAAAACGGTGATCTGTATTGCGTAATTGCGTCTTCCAAGGAGCGTGATTGTATATGTACGAGTTGAAATAATGATCGTTGACGTAAAATGTTACTAACGATTGTTAACCCGTTGCACTCTCTCGTAAGTATTTGCGTCTCTGTCTTGATGTGACAAGAACATCCAGCACGAACACTCTACTAATTTTCTTAATTTAATTGTTGCATTTTGTAAACTACGATGCAACGCCTGAAACGTCTACTTTTAATTTCTACACGCCGAAGATATATTTAAAAAATGTACAGTGTCTACGTTTTACGCACTGCAGCCCTCACTTTATATATCTGTTGTAGGTAGCACACATAAAGGATTTCGCTTATGCATAACAAAATGTCGGCAGTCGCCTCGATATCGCTTCCCTAACACATTGTCCATACCGGTCAGCTAAAAGCGTGCAATTAAGTTCACTCGCGCTGACAATGGCTCGGAGAATAAAACGCTTTATTTGCGGCGCAGGAGAAATGCTCCTAAGGATCGTTAGACGCTTTCTGCAAATTATCCGTAGATTGCTCTGTAGAGGATTGAATGCTGTAAGTGCGATATACAACGTGCGAAATTGCGAGAGATCTTTAGCAAGTAAAAAAAATTCTTGGCGATACAATCGTGTCCGATGAAAGATTCGTCCCTGCTTGCCGTATTTGTTATAGTGGGCGGCAAGTTTCACGGTAGAAAGCAGTTGTCGCGGTACCACACGGTATTGTAATCCTAGTGCACGAGGGTAAGAGTAGCCGCGGCTTTTGTGCCTGCTCGCGCAGCAGAAACGCTGAAATGTAATATCGTGCACGCTCGTTAACTGCTTTATGCCAACAACTTATATTAAGGCCTTTGCTCCGCCGGCCTAGCGCATACCCGTTTCCTACGCTCGAGGCGTCCCCTCGGAAGCTCTTGGACAGATCCGCCGGTCCCCCCCGAGTCCCGGGAACTCGGTGAAAATTACTTTGGCCTCCTGCTTGTATCGTAGACGCTTCGTTGTGTCGAACGCGGGCGATGTCTGTCGTGTTTTTAAAATTGTCTTGGTGATTTCAGACAACTGAAAACATGCAACGACGCTCTTCGTCACCGGCGCGCCCCGCCGCGCTCGCCGAGCAAACGAGAGTTCTAACTGTGAACAATGGGGAACACCTGGACGGGATATTGTACAGATTGAAGAAAGGTTTTTAGAAAGAAGTCTTGTCCCTTCTAAAATTATTTTACTTTCTAAACTCTCTGCATTTCGATTTTCTTTCACGCACTGCTGTAAACGATTTTGCGTTGCTCGCAGGTTGGATAGTTGAGTTTCGACTCGGGGCCTCCCTGCTTGGCAAAACGCTCGATGTTTTTATCAATCATCCGTTGTCGGCCGACAAGAAATTTGAGAGGCACACTTATTACCAGTTGCAATGGGTTGACGAGTCGGCGAGGATACATCTAACTTTGCCTGGGTCTTTCCATTATTATGTCACTGATCAGTAAGGGAATTAAGAATGTTATGAGTAAGATTTTGTTTCTTAATAATGGGAGACACACGCTTGCTTCGCAGAGTCGAGGGGCATATAAAGCCCGTCGCGTCCGGATACTTGCTGGTGGATCCCGAGTTGAAAGTAGGTGAGCACGGGGAGAAACTACCTCTGGACTGCATTCAAGTTCAAACTGTTCTGGCAAAGAGTTTAGGATCTCTGTCCACGTGGGAGAGCAAATTGCTGGTGGCACGAAATTCTGGATACAACGCAATCCATTTTACGCCGATACAGGTAGTGGCCTCGCGTGACCGATGTACGACGTAAGAGTACAACGCTTGTGACAAACACGAGTTTAACGTTTTAGGAATTGGGAAATTCGATGTCGTCGTACAGCCTGAAGGATCAATCCAAGCTCAATCCCGCGTTCAATGACAATAATAAGATAATTACTTATCGCGACATCGAAACATTTACGAATAAAATGCGAACCGAGTGGAAGGTAAATTATTGTTTATCGAGAATCGGATGAAACGCGTGATCCTGCGAGACATTTAAATATCCGTCCATCCTTCAACTCTCTCATACGTTGCAGATGTTGAGCATATGCGATATTGTTCTGAATCACACGGCGAACGAGAGTCCTTTCCTGGTTTCTCACCCGGAATGCACGTACAATTGCGTCAACAGCCCTCATTTACGTCCGGCGTATATTTTGGATGCGGTATTGTTTGAATTAACAACCCAAGTGGCCTCCGGAGAATGGGAATTTAGAGGTATCCCCACCGTAGTTGACACCGAGGATCATCTAAACGTAAGTCGCTCCTCGCAGCGATTGAAAATTCAATTCTCCCGTCAATGTCCCCTCGACGCGTCTTCACGCATTTCGTCTTCAGGCGATCCGTCATGCCCTCCACACACATTTCTTGCCGTTGGTGAAGATACACGAGTTGTACGTCGTCGATGTCAATGAAGTTGTATCGGATTTCTTGAATTCGGCGCGCAACGAGATGCCGCAGGACGTGAATAACGCGACGGCCAAGGACATCGCGGTGATTCAAGATCCCGCCTTTCGTCGATTGAAGTCGGCCGTAGATATGCAGCTTGCCCTAAGGAAATATAATACGTACAGGTAAGACACGGCGGCGTATAGCCGATATATTTCGCGTATCCACTCTTGCGGATGCTTATGGGTGATTCTTTTACACAGAGCTGATTGTTTCGACGAGGAGACTCGTTTGAAACGATGCGCGGAGGACTTGAAGAAGAAATTGCAAGAACTCAACGAAGTTATTACCAACGAGGTGCAAAACCATCTGAACGCTGCCGTCGAGAATAGTATTGCAGGCATGAGATACTTCCGTGTGCAATCCGATGGTCCAAGAATTACGGAGATTAGCGAGAAGAATCCTCTTGTTTCCAGGTAGTCCACATTTTATTCAAATCTGTAAATGTGACGTTACATTATAATATCTATAAACACGGTGTGTACATACCACAGGTACTTCACCGATTATGGAGCACCTAAATCTTTAACGGAAAGAGAAAACGTAATGTACTCGGACAACGGATGTTACCTCATGGCTCACAATGGTTGGGTCATGAATGGCGATCCTTTGAAAAATTTCGCGGAGCCTGATTCTAACGTGTACATTCGAAGGGAGCTTATCGCCTGGGGAGATAGCGTGAAACTCAGGTAAAAATACCGGCCAAATGTCACTCGAGTTTTCAGCGAGTTATTAGCGCGACAAGTGCAATGATATATAATTTAAAGTATTATACGATCAACGCGATTGCTACAGATATGGGCAGAAACCAGAGGATTGTCCTTTCTTGTGGCAGCATATGGTGGCTTACGTAGAACAAACAGCGCAGACATTCGACGGTGTTCGATTAGACAATTGCCATTCCACGCCGATCCCCGTTGCTGAGGTATACCGCAATTTTAAGCGGCCCCAACGATGAGTTTACCGAATAACACAATTCTCTTTGCAGTACATGCTTGACGCTGCACGACAAGTCCGCCCAGATCTTTACGTTGTCGCAGAATTGTTCACAAACTCTGATCAGAAAGACAACATCTTTGTAAATCGCCTCGGCATCACGTCATTGATAAGAGGTTGTCGCTCTTTCCAAAAACTATTGTTTGCGTAATATTTTTTGAAATGCAGTTGCCGGGGACACATGTTCGAATAGATATACGTCAAGACTTTTGTATTGCAGAAGCTATGTCTGCGTGGGATAGCCATGAAGAAGGGAGATTGGTGTACCGGTACGGAGGGGAGCCAGTTGGAGCATTCCTGCAGTCACGAAAACGGCCGTTAGTGCCGAGCATAGCTCACGCCCTGTTCCTGGATGTGACCCACGATAATCCCAGTCCGGTGGAGAAACGAAGTATCTTTGATCTACTCCCGAGCGCTGCGCTTGTATCGATGGCGTGCTGTGCCAGCGGCAGCAGTCGCGGATACGACGAATTAGTGCCTCATCATGTAAGCTCGTGATGCAAACCCAAATTTTTGTACAGTCTTTTGCCATGAAATTACATCTATTTACAAGATTTAATTCACGTCAGATACACGTGGTGGATGAGAAAAGGCAGTACGCTTCCTGGTCACACGACGACTCGGCGGACGACGTCAAGTTCGTTAACTCGAAAACCGGAATAATCGCAGCTAAAAAGGCATTGAACGACCTGCATTACATGCTTGGCCAACAAGAATTTTTGCAAGTATGTTAACACTTGCTCGTCCCTCGTCAGCTTACCCATTTTGGAAAGTCAATGCGTACGGCTGTTAAAAATTTGTTTTCTGATTTATAGGTATTTGTTGATCAAATGGATACCGACATAGTGGCTGTAACGAGGCACTCGCCGACTAGTCACGAGAGTGTAGTTCTGGTTGCGTTCACTGCATTTAAACATCCGGATTCGAACGCTCATGATCTGCGAAGGCATGTAAAACCACTGAGAGTGGAGGGTATAGTGGAGGAAATTATTTTAGAAGCCTCGCTCTCACACGTTGATGCCAGGTAAGCGGTAAATTTAATCTTTCTTTCTTGAAAAATTTATATATTTACTGATAGAGGTAAACCGCTTTTGCAGAGATGGCAAGCCGCTTTTCCTTCTGCCTCAGAAGTACATAATGGACGAAAACGTCATAAATGGATTGTCCGAGTATACGTTGAGCCTGAAACAGCACATACAATGTTGCGATTCGACGATAATCGAGAAGGTCGATTCCGGCGATCCGAAGATCACGCAGCTTAACTTCGTCAACTTTCAACCCGGTTCCGTTATAGCTATACGGTATACAAAACAACAAATTCCTGTTTCCGAAATCGCGATATCTGTGCTAGCTCGTGTACGAATTTAATTGCAGGGTGGCCCTCCACGCGAATATAACTCCTGCTTTAATGAAGCTCCAAGATACCATCTCGCAGATTACTTCCAACGAGAGATCAGACTTACATGATATAGTTTCCCGCATGGACTTCTCGGATTTGAATAAAACGTTATACAGATGCGACCAGGAGGAACGAGAGGAAACTCTGGGCAAATTCGGAGTATACAATGTGCCGGGATACGGACCTTTCGTATATGCCGGGCTGCAAGGTGATACGTTGCAATATTTAATCGAATAGGAAATATATATTTAGATAGTTTGCATTCTTTTAATTGCAACTCGTATATCCATATATATTGGCACGAGTTTTATTCTTGTCGTGTCTCGTTGCCGTTTGATAAGCGCCTCGTTTTCAAATCAGGCATTATATCCTTACTGGCCGACATTCGTCCAAATAACGACCTGGGACATCCCCTGTGTGCCAATCTTAGGCAGGGTAACTGGTTGATAGGTAATACATCAGAAATCAATTCCAACAAAAATAATTGTAGATAGCAATACTTATGACATGCGATTGAAACATTGTCAGATTACGTATGGCAGCGTCTGAAAGAAGATGACGGCACTAAACCCCTTGGAGTGTGGTTTGAGCAAGCTATGGAACCGTTCCAGTTAATCCCGAGATACCTTGTGCCAAGTTACTTTGACGTTATAATCGTAAACGTTTATAGGATTCTTTTAGACCACTGCTACAGTCTGATGTCCAAGTAAGCCCCGAAATGAATATTGAATGGACTTGTTAGAGTAACAGACTTATGAGCTCTTTAATTAGTATTTTAATTGTATTTAAAAGGATCAGAGAATCTACAGTAATTAATTATATGTCATTTACCGTTAATATTGTTATTCCAGCTTCATCAAGAATGGAACTACATTCGTGAAATTACTGAGCTTGGTCTCGGTTCAAGTGGGTGGCGTAGTAAGGTCGTCGCAATTGCCGAATTTGTCGCCGGGTCTCAGCCCACCCAAGCCCAAAACTAAAATCCACGACGGTGTGGCCGAGCAAATGTGTTTAACGTTGTCGGCAGGTTTGCCGCACTTCACGACGGGTTACACGAGAAATTGGGGTAGAGATACCTTCATCGCTCTGAGGGGACTGTTACTTCTGACGGGCAGGCATGTCGAGGCGAGATACATAATCCTTGGATTCGCTGGTACCTTGCGACACGGTCTCATGCCTAATCTACTCGATAAAGGGAGCAATGCGAGGTACAATATACTTTCTTAGAGCGCGATGTATTTTCAGAGTGGCGCTTTAGAAAGTTTCCATCCGAGCTTTATCATCAATCTCATTCTGCAATAGGTACAATTGCCGCGATGCTCTATGGTGGTGGCTCTACACCATAAAATGTTACACCGAGGAAGTACCGGACGGTTTGAATATCCTTTCCGACAAAGTCTCAAGATTGTTCCCGACTGACGATTCGCCAGTTTTGCCAGCAGGACAACATGTAAAGATCAGCTATTTTACAACCTTATATACTTCAAATTAAATTATTTAATTTAAATTAAAAGTCGCGCGCGTTATGTGACAATATAAAAATGATTCCAGGATCAACCGCTGCACGAAGTAATTCAGGAAGCTCTCGCAGTACATTTTCAAGGTCTCTGCTTCAGAGAGAGAAACGCCGGGAGACAGATCGATGAGCACATGACCGATCGCGGATTCAACAATCAAATCGGCGTCCATCCCGAAACCGGCTTTGTGTTCGGCGGCAACGATGCCAATTGTGGCACCTGGATGGACAAAATGGGATCTTCCGAGAAAGCTGGTAACAAAGGCAAACCGGCTACCCCCAGAGACGGCTCCGCCGTAGAGATAGTCGGGCTGAGCAAATGCATTATCACTTATCTGGCTGAATTGTATAAGCAAAATCTCTTCCCGTACGGTAGCGTCCAACGGAAGAGTCGCGACGGTAAGAATATGGAAAGCACCACAGGTCAAACGTAATTAACTACTTATAATCCTGATTATTACACGATAATTACGTGAATTACAGGCAACACAATAACCTGGAGTTATAAACAGTGGGCCGATAAAATTCAAGCGAACTTCGAGAGGTACTTTTATGTGAACGAGATTCCGATTCAGGGCGAGTTGAAGCCCAATTTGATCCATCGGCGAGGTATATTGAAGGACAGTTACGGAGCGACGCAAGAATGGGCGGATTATCAGTTGCGGCCTAACTTTCCTATCGCGTTGGTTGTTGTGAGTGTTGCTACCGGCATTGAAAAATATCCTGCGAAATCTAGTACAGAAAATTGTAATATATGTCGCAACAAATCATGATGCCATAACAACACACAAACAGGCGCCGGAACTGCTTAATCCCCATCACGCCTGGACAGCGCTGAAGAAAGCGGAGGAGATACTACTAGGCCCGCTAGGAATGAAGACGTTAGATCCTGCGGACTGGGCCTATGACGGGTTTTATGACAATTCCAACGACGGTACCGATCCCAAGGTAGCGCAGGGATGGAATTATCATCAGGGACCGGTAAGGACTTTCTATCATAATCGCGTATTCGTCTTGCGAGGTATATCAAGATTCAAGTTTTCACTCAAGCAATACGTTCCTCAACATCTTCTCAGGAATGGGTCTGGCCGATAGGATACTTCCTGCGAGCGCGTCTGCACTTTGCGTCGTTAATCGACGATACGGACGCGTTGCGCCGTACGATCGATTCGACCGAAACTATTATCTCGCAGCACTTCATCGAGGCGTCCACCAACCAATGGCGAGGCCTCCCCGAGCTTACCAACAAGGACGGAAGTTACTGCAAGGACAGTTGTCGCACCCAAGCGTGGAGTGCGTCGGTTATATTAGAGGTTTGTATTCAAAGTGAACGAATTTCTTGCGAACTGTATCGCCTCCAGTATTTCTCCCGGTGTTTCTTATACGGGATCAATATTACGAGCTCATTTAAGAATGCTATTTGTGTAGAACGTCATGATTTAGTGGCTATTTGTTTGGGATTCAGGTACTCTACGACTTGCAGAAGATCAAACGGGAATTGCGAATGATATCCGAGAATTGATATCACTTTGCGTGTGTTCACCACCGTCAGCTACATTTAGAGCAATTAAAATTAGAAGCGAAACGTAGTAGTGCCAGGAGCCGAGCGAATGACACGAGTGTGAGCCTTCCCACCGGAGCAATAGCGACACCGCGCGCACCGGAAACACACGCATATTGTATCCCGCACGTAGGTACAACAGACACGCAAACCCAATCTGTAGTCGCTGCTGATAGTACAAGGAACGATATTCTAATTGCCGCCGACGAAGGATCGAGCTCTGCGATCGAGAGACTACGCGATGACACAAATTTCACTAGCCCTTCCTCTCGTTGCACCGGCGATTCGAGAGGGATTCCATCAGATGCGAGAGATGAGGTACATTCTGATAGCGAACGAAAAGCAGAGGATTACGATCAACGGCAGGCGATGATGGAAAACAACGAAGCTACCGTTCGAGCCTTATCGAATGTTGGTCACGTTTACGAAGAAATTAGAGCGATGAAGGAGCCACGCGGCAGTTTATATGAATACGACATTCGAAATTACTACGAGGAATACAGCTCCGCTACCGCGAAGACCTTGATAGACACGCTTTTCCTGCCGCGACACGCAATTTGCGTGGAGTGCGCGAGAACGAAGGGCAGTCCGGTATACACCGATCGTTTGATATACACGAAAGAGTCGTTGCTCGCCGTAGAGGTGGTTCTGTGTCAACGCGACGACGTTTCGTGCTTCGAGTACTCGCGCGAGGATTCCAGGGGCATTTTCCGCTCGCAACGCGATCAAAGTCGTGATTGCATGCTGGTCCACAGCTGCACGAAGAGCAACGCCGGGGGTATATTTTATTCTCCCCGTTGGCCCCGGGACGTCTTCGATCTGCGGTCGCTGTTGAAGCCGAGCATTCACGTTGTAAACCGCACTTGCCGCAACCTCGTAGTGAATACGCAGTTGTATCATCGCTCCGTAAATAGCTATCGCATGAGAACATCGAGAGCCGGCAGCATACCATTTTATCACGACCGTGATATCCTGATAAGCTGCACGAAACGCACCGACCGTAACGATTCGCAAGATCCGCTCATTTATCAGATGCGCCGATTAAGGAACGACGATATCGGTGAACAACGGAGGAACAGGTCGAGCAGCTTGTTGCTACTAGAACCGTTGCTGCTAATGCCGGAATCGACAAATACTCGACACCGAGAGGACCTTAAGAGTCAGATATCGCGGTCGGAACGCGTGAAAGTTATCAGAATAATAATGGCCTACGCACTATCATTTCTTACCCTCGCGAGCATTACATTTTACATCGTTTATTTTACCTAGAGAGGGCTTTTATTGAAATTGCGAAACGGTGGGATATTTAGGAAACTTAGTCGCATTCGGATGTCACGGGATACATTTATTGTCATTAATTTTACGTTACATTTGTTACGAAGTGTTGTCAAATGTTCAACGGAACGATCGAGATGTGCATGATGATTCATATTTCGTCAGTACATGTATACTTTGTGTCCGTTGCTAATGGGGGTAACACGCCGATCCATTAATGACAAGAAATTATTTAATGGTATACAAATTGTTAACTATCTTAATCGTTAAATCTGCATCGCTATGAGCAAATTGTTCTTAATTCTATTAAATTATGCGTAACAGATGTACAATTTTAACAAGCTCGCATAATTTATCATAATTTACCATAATCTATTTTATATATGCCTTTTAGGTCTATAGAGCGATATAATCGTTTCATAATACCCTCATTGAAGTTTACTAAGAAACTGTTGTTCGAGACGCGTGCTTCAACTCTATAATCTCGAAAATCAAAGGTTTAACCCCGTGTTGTTGTCTATTAATATGTCAAATATTTAACAGTTCCTATTACTAATTTCACTCACGATACTAGAAATGCAGGAATTGATTTGTGACGTCTTATTTATATAAATACTCGTCGATAGATTCGTGCAATAAATAAAAACTGATAGGCTTTAGTATTTTTCGAGGAACATAGTTACTAGAATTGCGAAGTTTTCGGGTAAATCACGTGGATATACATCCTAAGTTGTAGATATAAATCGCGTAAAACATGTGGGAGAAATAATGAATTTTGTAATAAAACAAATGAACTGTGACAAAACTTCTAACTAGCACTAGAAGTTTCATTATTATATTTATTTTGAAACGCCTTCACACAATATATAAATTCCGATATTTTTAACTTATTCGCGAATATTTACACTTGAGATTAATGCGTTTTGTTATTAGTGCTACACTGACGTAATCTTATTAAATTTCCCTGTGCGATATCCAGTCTTTAACACAACGATCTCTTTTCACCATTTCTATCCGTTCTCCGTTCCGAAGCTTCGCAAACTATTCGTAATACAAATGGTATTAAAATGACTAGAACAAAAATTTACAAATTGTCAGACAGCGAGACTTGTTATCATTTATGATGGTTGTCATCATGTATGACTGGAATAAATGGAAATTATTAAGATTGATTATATGTACACAGATATCAAAGTATTGAAAAGATATTTAGATTACTTAAAAAAAAGCTAGATACTAATAATAAGTCTCAGGTACATATGATTAAAAAATCATATAAATTATTTATTAACTTCAACATAAATCAAACTATACAAATCTTAAGGGGATAGTCGAGAGATAAAAATATATTTGCCCTAGTAAACGTAATATACATATTAATGCTAACAATAAATCGAACATTCATCGCATCATCACTGATCTTATCCACCGTAATCACGTTACAGGTCGTAAAAAAAATCCCCCCCCCCCCCCGAGTTCCTGTTTCGAACAACTTTAATTCTTAGTCTATAATTTCTTCGTGTGTAATAAGTTAGAAATATATCTCGTAATGGTAAAACTTCAATCCGCGTGCTCCCTATCTAGTACTCAGATTGAAAATACTACAGGTATGTAAAGCCTTACGTTTCATGTTTAGTAAAATCCGTCGCGCTACTTCGACGAGCCATCGCGCGGCTCGAACGTCGTGTAAATCCTTAAAAGCCAATTGACTTCTATAATAGCACCTAAAATTGTATTTGCAAAAATGTCGTCCCTTTTAGATATCGTCAAACAGTCCCCTGGGTGGAGGGCCTACGCGGCTTGTACTCGTGGGGAATGCCCTCGCGTTACTTGGATCGAACGAATCGATATCGCCCTGGTTTTCCACATCGCACCGATTTGCACCGTAACCGTCTCCGCCGAAGGTCATACCGATGTAATAGTCCGTGGGGTCGAAGTCGTGCAACAGGCCCGCTCTCGCGGACTCGACTGACTCGTCCCGCTTTAACGGCCGTACTGAGGAATTGTCAACGACAATGTTACTTACGTAATCTTTGTGTTACGTGTTACCATTCATTTTCTATTATACGCACCAGTGTCCGTGCTTTGTCGAGATGTCCTGTAACGCGATCCTGCACCCACCGAAATATTAAATCTCTCCTGCATCTCGCGTCGTCTGTACAAAGAATCCTCCGCTCTTTGCCGCTTACGTCTCTCTGTAATAAGAGAAAAAAAAATGTTCTTATTTCAACGTTCATCTCTTCAACGTATTAAACACAGATAAATTATAAAGCGACGTGTAAATTACGTTTTGTGCGATATATGTTTAACATACCGCGTTAAAAATAGAATTGATAATGTAACTTGTCTCGATATACCTCTTTTTATAAGTTCTCGTCCTTCGTCCACGAGATCCGTCGTGAACTCGTCGTCGTCGAGGAATTGCTGAAAGCCTAGCATGGAAAGCAATCTACTGCCTATGCTAAAATATGTCGCCAAGCAGAACGCCAGAATCGCCATAGGGAAGTACACGTTAAATCCATCGGATATTATGGAAATGACATCCATATGGCCCATCACCTGGCGAAGAAAAAGAAACCGATAAGGGCAAAGGACAATTTGGAGAAATCCACGGGTTATTCGAGCGACATTACTTGTGTATAGTGCGTCTCCAGGATATGTGTTTTGATAATGTGAGAGTCCATGTGAATAAGTCCGAGGAAATTCAGACACATGGGCGGAGTTAAGCGGCACAGCATCATGCCGCTGAATATCAGACTGTACTCGTTCGTTTGATGATGAGGCGCCAAGTAATAGAGATTCAGCACTCGTATCTTCAAGACTGTCGAATAAGCGCAATAGCAGAGGTATGCGATGATCAGCGTGGACAGTACCTGAGAATTAGTCGCGGTCAATGATAATGCAAGTGCGAAATAGTTGAGCTGCGAGTATTTACCTCTATCGTGAAATAGTCGTAATTTCTCTTGGCTAAATTGAGAAACTGGGCGAATAAGGACAACACGGGAGACTTGTTGAAGAATGTCACTTCCGACCACACCACGGCTACCGACAAGCAGCCGGCGCAAACGGCAGCCACCTTTGAAACGTAATTCTTCACGATACACTTCCAGTACCATTCTGAAATTTGAGTTGGACACTTTGGAGATATTCTGACAATGGGAATGCAATACAACGTGGCGGAATTAAAAGCGCGGAGCAAAAACGAGGTGTTACTCACCGACGACGGGATTGTAAATAATACGAAACGGAAGCGAACGATGCATAGGGAAACACTGTTTAAATCTTCTATCATGACTCACTTGATTCTTCGCCACATCTTCCAGATCAAATATCTTATCCACTAAAATGCCCCATTGAGTTTCTATGCGCTGCAAAGTCTGCAGCGCTTTTATAGTCTAAAAGACAAGTAAAACGACGACATGTAGAAGTGCAAGCGCCTCGCGGTACCGCGTGTGCCGTTAACAAACCTGTCTATGTAGACGAATAAGAGACTTTTCAGTAGGCGTATCTGTTGGAGTGTCATCGGGCAACTGCCTTCGGTTCATTCTATCCTTCAGCTCTGCGGGTATCTTTTGAAAGATCGTTTCCAGGTTGCAGTGGAACGGATGGCCGGGCCCGATGGATATCGTCGCGATTTGCAGCGACTAAATCACATTTGTCATTCATTCCCACAGTTCTCGCGCCGTAAAACGTAAGCGTATTGCCACTTTCACCTCGTACCTCGAGTATGTCGTCCACCGTCTCTTCCGCCTCGCACTTGTCCAAACTTAGCTTCGCCACCTTGAAATAGCTGTAGCTCAAAGTGTACCCAGGCTTGCTGGCGTTCCATAGTCCTCGAGGTACCTCCACAAGGGCGTAGCCGAGCAGTAGGACCAACAGGAACAGGCCCCACGTATTGGACGCAGACGACGCTATGGCTTTCAATTTTTGCCTGCGGGAGAGCAAACGTCCTGATTACTTCCGCACGCGTGTATTAACAGCTTGAACAGTGGGAGGCGACTGCTACGAAACTTGAACGACGCCGTCCGCCGAAACTCACCCGTCGAGATCTAAGCCAGGCTTCAGCGCAATGTATATCAAGAGTATGCCGCATATGAACAAGTAACTGCCGTAATATATGGCGTTATCTATTAAAGCGGACTTGAGCTTGCCGCGCACGGTGAAGTCTCCCGCTTTTATGTAAGACTGCATCAACGGGAGTATCAGCCACGTCAGGCACTGCGACGTCCAGTAGACTATCCTCCACAGATTTGGAAATACGTTCTCCGGCACGTTGGGCCAGGGCTCCTTGCAGGTGATCGGCGCGGAGGTCGTGTTGTTGGGATCCTTGGTGCTGTTGTGTATATTCTGCTCCACGCACTGCCTGAACACGGTCTGGAAAGGCAAAACGTGTTTACTCTCGCTCCGATCTTCCGCGAGGGGGGGAAGTAACTGTGTACTGTGGATAATTACCGAAGAAACGTCCAGCGGTAGTATGAAGATTATCAGCAGGGAAAAGTACCAAGCTATCAGCACGGAGATGGTGACCGCGATGTGGTGTCGGAACACGTTTCCGTACTTGAAGAGCAGAGTGCCGGCCAGCAGGAACGCCACTATGATCTCCGTTAGGAACACGCCGAGAACCATCTTGCCCGTAGTTATCTCTCGCGTGCCGACAGTGATATCCTACGAAGCTATGGCTAGGTGGTGCTTACGCGCTCGCATCGAGACTGCCCCCCGCCTCTTGCGTCTCCTTGACCTTGATCTCCGCGTCCCTCTGCATCTTCTCGAGTTTCTCCAGCGTGACCGACTTGAGCGGGATCAGCTTCGGCTTGCACAGGATGTAGTTGGACGTGTCGTTCTGATACAGCAGGCCTTGCCTCGGCAGGACTATGTCGCACTGTTCCACCTGACTGTCCGTGGGCTCTGACATCTTCGGTCAATCCGCGAGGCCATCAGCGAGTCGACGACCTCTTCATCGTGGCACGTGGCGGATCGGAGGAGAGCGGCGCTGCAACGTGAAACCAGAGTTGAACGCTTCCACGAGGAAACAGTCCCGACTTGACATATCGTTTCTCGTAGCGAACGAACGAGAGGCTGGACGTTCGTCAGGACAGCACGGCCGCGACAGAAGTCAGCTGACACGAGCCAGCGTACCTCGCACACCTGACGCGACGCAACTGACAGAACGCCGCGACTGTCGCACGTTGAGGCGAGCAGTTCCTGGCCGCCGGGCAACTCCGGGGAGTCGTGGGTGGATTCCGCCGTCGACGCCGTCACCTCGCAATCGGACGCCGAGCCGACGGATCGCTCCCAGCTGGTTGACGAACTCGCCAGATCTTTACCGTGAAACGTCACGGACCGTTACCGACCGTTACCGACCGTTACCGACGTGCCGGACGTCGGACGTCGCGACGCGACGCCGCGAGGCTCGGAACTAACGTCGACGGCCGTAGATGAGTCGGTGGGTAAGTAAGGTAGAATTAAGATCGCGTTCTACACGCATTGTCCGCGCACACATTGCTAATGCCCGTTCACACCTAGGGATGATCCTACTTGTGGCGCATCCGAGTGGGGACGTTTACACGGGCGTTTTAGTACGGCTATCATACTGAGGCCAGGGGTGCTTTCGCGACGTAGAGTAAAATGATCCGGATCAAAATGATCCGTGCTATGATTGGTCAAATCTGAAATTTCGTAGCATCTCATTGAAATTTTATTCAATGAAATTTCAGATTTGACCAATCATAGCACGGATCATTTTGATCCGGATCATTTTACTCTACGTCGCGAAAGCACCCCTGGTTTCACGAAACGTCGCTTAAATTTAATCTTGGTTTCATTCACGTTTGTCTCTTTCTAAAGTAACAGTTGGAAAGAGACAAAGAACGAATTAAACTAGGCTTAAAGTTAAACAACATTGGTGAAACCGGGCCTTGGGTCCGGTTTCACCAAACGTCGCTTAACTTTAATCTTAAGCCCGCTGCAGACGATGCTATTTTTCCTGCTGGATTGCTTGCAATTTACTAAATTACTAGGAATCTTGAGTGCTCAATGGTGCGCCGATAGTAATTTATTAGATTGCAAGCAATCCAGCAGGAAAAATAGCATCGTCTGCAGCGGGCTTTAGTTCAATTCACGTTTGTCTCTTTCTAAAGTAATAGTTGAAAAGAGACAAAGAATGAATTAATTTAAGCTTAAAGTTAAACAACGATGGTGAACCTGTATGATTATAACTTTTTCAATGTTTAGCTTATGATATCTCGACAACTGTTTGTCGGAAGGAAAAGTAGCACAGGACATCTTTACTTGATTTGGTCTCGGGAATATGCTGTTGCAATAGTGCGCCAATTATTGAAAATTTTTGTGCACTGTAACATAAATTTGAAAAATCTAAGCAATATTATAATACGTTGCAAATGTATTTTGCAAACTTTATATTAGTATTTCCACAAGGTTGCTGAAACATTGTCGGCGAAAGATTACAATTGAATGTCTCTAAACCGCCTTTGCAACATTACATTGCAATGCTGCAACGTTTCTGAAAGCTTCGGCGCTGTACGGGATCAGTTCCTATATGCAATCCGCAGTCTTCCGACTTCAAAATTTGTAGTGGGCATTCGACGAAGTCTGTTCTAGCAGATTTGGCCGTCTGGGAATTTAGCGGAGACCCCGCTGTTTCATTTTAGAAGCCTGTCCCATAAAACTTTCCTCCGTATGAAATTGACTGAAGAAAATAATTTTCACTGAATTCCCAGCGAAACATTAATAAGATGATAATGAAACGGGGTCAATTAAAAGAGATATTCTAATGCATTTCGCATTACACTCTCGGCGAAAACATTTTCAAGGCGATCACGTCCGAAGAGCGTAATTTCCGATATTTCCTGACGGAATACGAATGTTTGACGATGCATATGGATTACTCGTTGTTCACACGACACGTTGAACATAGCAGTACATGGACTGTACATGTAGACGAGGATTGTCGTATTTACACGTAAACGCCCAACCCTGATTATAGCTCGTCAAGGATAAATGATTCTCGCGCCGCCCCGACGTTCGATAACGAATATATTAATTCGCGACTTATCGGAACACATGATAACGTACCCTTCTACGTTTTTGCGACGCGTGATAGATGGAGAAAGGGGTAGGCGGGGAGGGAAGGGAAAGGAGGAGGGGAGGATTCTGTCCTCGGCTGCACTCTTTGCGCCGTATACTTTCCGCACTTGAAACGAGAGACGGATGTACAATTAGACGTTGAAGAGGGGAAGAAAAGAGATGCGAGGGGGTACAAAAAATTCAGTCGCGCGGAACAAACCTGTTCGGGAGGGGAGGAGGGAGGTCACGTGCCGGGAGAACCGACCCGTGGCTGCGTCGCGGTCGACTCTTCGGCGAACAAGTGAAAATTTGTAAAAAAAGAGAGAGAGAGAGAGAGAGAGAGAACGCGAAATAATCAATGCGACGCCCGGTATTAGGGATTAGAAACCGCAGAGACGTTATATTCGTCGTCGCGGGGATGTTTTCCAGTCCCCTGGGTTTAAGCTGAAGCGAGGATCCAGCCTTCTGCCAGTAGCACGGTGCATTGTCTAAACATTGGCTGAACATTGGCCCAATATTATAGCGAATTTGGTTGCTTGCACCAGTGCGCATTGAGTGCACACTAAGGCTTGTTTCCAGTCAATTTGAGAATCGCCGTAAATATTTCTTGAAATATATTTCGTAACCAGCAAAATGATCTGCACGGCATCCACGCGGATCATTTTTCGGCTAAATACTCTGAACGTGTATTTAAGACAAAGTTAAGTTAAGTGTTTAATAAAAGTTGACTATGAACTGGCCTTAGTGTGCACTGGAATGATGTTGTATTAACAAGATCAATGCAATTGACATAAAATCGTTGAGACAACAACAGGGGGTCAATTCTGTATCTTACACTGTAATAGCGAAAATGCTAAAAGTGAATGCATTGTCTCTTTCTAACCGCCCTCTTAAGCCCGTATCAGACTACGGATTGAGATTGGGATTAGATTGAAATTTGACAAATCAGAGTAAAAGTAACTGAACTTGAGATTAGTAAACTTTACTGTGATTGGTTAAATTTCAATCTAATCCCAATCCCAATCCGTAGTCTGATACGGGCTTTAGAAAGAGCCAAAGTCGCTCACTCTTTTAGCACTTTTACTATATCGCAAGATACAGAATTGATGCCCTGTATTAATAAGTGAAAAACATCAGATTGCTGTCTTAACAATCTGGATACTTGGTCCAATGCTTAAAATTAAAATCCGCATACAAATACAATTGAGTGAATTTATTTATGTTTGCGGCAGCCCGCGAGACATTAACGTTTAATTCAAGCAACTTTATTTTGTTTAATCCAACGGCATTTTCTTTCCGTGCACATCTTGACCAAAATCTAAATAAACGAGGAGACATCCATCTTACTAACACGCTGGGCCAATAGGAACATCAGACTCGCGTGTTTCCCAACGTGTTGCGCCAATATAAATTTTGTGTGCTAGGGTCACGTCGACAGAGAGAAGGAGATAAGAGAAAGAGATACGTGTAAGTGCAGAAAGTGTAATCGAAGAACAGTATCGAGTGACAGCCTGACAGCGGGCCGAGGTCAGCGTATAGTAAATTCGCGCGCAAGAACCACGCGAGGATTCTCGGAACGGCCCGCGCTCGGGAACGTACCCGAAGATAGCCGGCCAGAGAGCTCGTCTGGGATTCGAGCACACCGGCCGAGAGATTCGGCGTTGACACACCGGGGGGGGGGGGGGGGGGGAGACGATGACGGGGAATGACGATTGGTGTGCTGACATTCCTCGGTCGTAAATAAAAAGTGTCGTATTTAGCTTCGCCGAAGCGACGCAGGGCTCGGCGGGGGGTGGGGGAGGCGGGGGGCGATGACGATAGCCTGTCCTGGAACGGAGAGCGAGCCGAGAGTAGCGCCGCTCGAAAAGAGACGAATGCATTACCGCTTGCTTATCTGCCGTTGCGGTTGTCATAATAGGCTCGTCGGCGAAAAACTTCCTGCGAGAGTGACATATTCAAGATCAAGGTCGCGTGTACGCGCGGGGAGGAGGGGGGGGGGGACGCGCATGCCGCTCGGCGTCTTCGACGGTGGATGATTTTGGCTTCGGCGATTTCGACACTCGCGTGTCAACCCCCTCGTCGTCGCGAGGTTTCGTAGACTACGTTTACACGTCGCCCTTAATTGGGTTTAATAACTACGGATAGTTACATGGTAAAAGAAGGGGCTCGGAGCCAGAGCAAGATTGTGGTGTCCAAACAACTTTTTACTCAATTGTAAATGCATGTATACGTTTCGGTCTTTATTGAACCATCTTCAGTACGAAAGGGAAGAATAAGTACAATTTGAAACATTAATGAATTCGCAATGTAAAAATGAAACCAAAGATTACGCAGTCGATCGTAAAAAGGTGTAATAAATAATGAAACGGACATATTTGAAGATTACGCAATCAGACATGTTACAAGTGTAACGAGTAGTGAGACAGAAATATCTGCATGGTTGTAACACTGGCCAGTCGCAATTATGGAACGACTGCGATTGGCCGCTCTGTCGGACTTTGAAACACCGCCGCGCGGCTTTTCGAATTTCAAATCGCGTCCCAAGACGCGATTCGTCCCCGACTTCGTGCTTATCAGTCGCCGACATGCGCCGTGCGTTGTAAACAAATTCGCAAAGTGCACGCGTGCGAGTGTCGCGAGAGCCAAGCGGCGTGTAGCGATTGTCGCGTGCAATCGTGTGTACGTCTTAAAAAAAAATTTGTCTCCTAATCTTCGTCTAGCGATTTTGTATTCCGGGCCACATCGAGCTTTTCGCATTTTCGTGGCGGACGTTTATCAATCGCCCTGAATCGAGCGCCAAACCACGTGACACAGCGAGCACCGACTACCAACTTGAGCGAAAAGAAAGATTCCAGTTTTCTGGCGGCGATCTCTCTCTCTC